CTCACAGCCTTTGATAGAAAGATATGATCATCCTTACAGCAAAAATCTCTTTTGAACATGTCAGGTAGCAGAAGAAGAGAGTGATCCCTAGTGTCACCTGCCTCTCAGCCAGACAGAACCAAAAGTAAATGCACCCCTTGGAGAAGGTATCTGTACAGCCTCTGACACGCTGTTCTACTTCCCGCAGCAAGAGTGCCCACAGTTAGCTAGCCAGATGCAAAAGAATTGCCCTAGTTTTTCTTAATGAAAATAGACTTAAAGCAAACACATGGCTGTTGATATATCTGATTCCTCTTGGCCTTCTTTCCCCTCGGCCACATAATCCCCCTGCCTTTAATGCTCGTGGCCTCATTGGGCACATACTATTTATTTAACTTTGGTAGAGAGAGAGTACATTGCTGAGGCCTTGCAGTAAAGGATTCACTCTGGCAGGCTGAGGAATGGAGCGATACAGTTGACCAACTAACCATTTTATCCAAAAGCGTTTTTATTTACACTTACACCAAGAAACTTCAGTGCAGTCTCGACCATGGTTCTCACTCTAAGGTCCTCTGAATTGAAAGAAAAAATAAATCATGCCAGGCACCAGTGGCTCACGCCTGAAATCATAGCTATTCAGGAGGCTCACTGAGGATCAGTTTGAAGCCAGCCCAGATCGGAAAGTTCATGAGACTCTTACCTTCAATTAACTATTTTAAAAAAAAAAAAAAAAACAGCCAGAAGTGGAGCTGTGGTTCAAGTGATAAATCCCTAGCCTTGAAGGTAGGAGTGGGGGGAAGCTCAGGGACAATGCCCAGGCTCTGAGTTCAAGCTCCAGGACTGGCACCAATCAGTCAGTTAATCAGTAATTGTTGAGAAGCTATAATCTGTTGGTATTATCTAATATCATAAGTTCTACTGGAACTTAAGTCTAAATTAGGCAGTTGAGGTCTAAGGGAACTTCTCTCTGTAACACCAGGTGATTTGGGGAGCTAAATGTCTTCTTTTTTGGGGGGGGGTCCGGTTGTGGGGCCTAAACTCTGGGCCTGGGCACTGTCCCTCAGTTCTTCAGCTCAAGGCTAGCGCTCTACCACTTGAGCCACAGCGCCACTTCCGGCTTTTTTCTTTTTTTGCTTATGTGGTGCTGAGGAATCGAACCCAGGGCCTCAGGCATGCAAGGCAAGCGCTCTACCACTGAGCCACCTTCCCAGCCCGCTAAATGTCTTTATAGACTTTGGCCTTCACTTCCTTGTCTAGGGGCTCCTGGCCCTAGTGTTTGCTCTGCTTTGCACTCACTGAGCTCTCATGGTGCCCTGGGCAGTGTTCTGCATGTCACACAGATGTGTCGCACTCTGGCTGTTCCCCGAATAAACAGTCCTTGTCTCTGGTTGCTTTAAAGTCAAGGGCCTGTGTGAGAGCAGTTTTCCATGACACTTGCTTAGCTGAAGCACTTAGCACAAGAGAAGATGAGTCAGGGACCCATCCAAGATTTGGAACAAAGATCTCGGGCCCTACTAGCATCCCAGAAATGGGTCCCCCAAAGAAGCTTACATCCAAGTTCTATTGTTGATTTCTGTCACAATGGAAAGCCAGCCTGCATGAAAGGTGATCATCCAGGCAGAAGGCTTGCTTTTTTTTTTTTTTTTTTAACTTTAGTGACAAGAGATAATTACTGTGGGATTGATCAGGCATCCAAGGTACTGGAGCAAATGAATCATGCAGTGGCCAGTGAGGGAGGGGCCCAGCTGCTAATGGAAGTGGTGGCTGGGTCACCCTACCATAATGTGGTTTGATGGAGCAGCCACATGGGCCTGCTATAATGTGCTATTGATATGCAGCCTGCCAGTTTCCCCCGTGTGGCCACGGCTGTGAGCCGCTGGAGCAGAGCTGGGCTGCACAGCAGTAAATGAAGAGGAAAATTGAAGTAATGTTGTATTATAAATTTATAATTTCATCTGCCTGGCCAAGAGGCTGCTCAGCAATAGGGGTGTAGAGATGGTCTCCCCTACTCTTGCAGGTGCCAAACTCTCATCTTCCTCAGGAAATGATCATGTTGACCCGCCCAGGAAGCATGGGATGAGGCCCAAAGTTAGCGTGAATGTGGCCATGTTTTTCTTCTTCCTTGTCAAACATTTTTAGGGTATGCCAGGAAGAAAGTGTCTATGGTGGGATCGTGTGGGGGGTCCTGAGTACAAGAAGGGAATGGCTGTTCCACTGTCAGATTAATAATAAAATATTTAAGACCCCTCCCCCCCAGCTCTGAAGTTAGAAGTAACAGGGCCATTTTTCATCAGGAAAGCCCCTAGGCAGTAGTGATTTGGCTGTTTGCATATAATCCGTTCATCAATATTGTTGATAAAAATGGTATTAGAAAAACCTAGCACTGAAAGATCCGATTTGATAGCAGGTGATTAATTTGAAGGAGAATTGAGCTGCCCAGCCATGAAATAAATACCCAGGAAGGGGCCAGTGTGTACGCATCTGAGGACTATCATTTCTTCTCTTTCTGTCTCGCTCCTGGGTCTCAGAGAACAGTGAGTGCAAGCTGCTAGGACATTCTGTCTCACCTGGGTAGCCTTCTGCTAGTGAGCCAGGTGTGAGGGACAGAGCAGGTGGCAGGGCCTATGGAAGCAAAGACAGCTCAGTTGGCCAGTAAAATCAGGGAGCACGTATTTGAGAAGCCTCTGGCTGAAGCCAGGGAGAGAGCCATAGCCATATAGTCTTGATTAAGAATTTAGTCTTTTGAGTGCCAAAAGGGACCTCATAAGGCTTTCTGCAAATGCCAAGACTCTCGGGCCCCAAGAGAAAGGGAAGGCCCTGTCTCAGGTCAGGCTGCTATGACAGAGTTCTATAGGTCCTATTCTGTGTATGGACAACATTAATTTCTCATGGTTCTAGAGTTAGGGAAATCCAAGATCAAGGCGTTGGAGGATTCCAGGGCCCTTTTCTCATGGTCAGCAGCCCTCTGTCCTGACCTAGTGAAAGGGGTGAGAGTCTTTCTGGAGCCTCCTTGAGAAGGGTACTGATCCCATTCATGAGGGCTCTGCCCTTATGACCTGTTCACCTCCCTAAGGCTCCACCTCCCTATATAGCTCAGTGTGTGTTAGGATATAGGATTAGAACTTGGAATGTCTTGGGCATTCATCCAGACCACAGTAAATCCCAGGAGTATGGTTTTGGGTCCAAGGTAGGACTGGAACTCATCTCCTGGCTTCCACACCATTCTGGATCCAGTGGTCACAGGCAAAAGCCACACCACTAGCATCTGTAAAGAAGGGAGGGGTGGTGAGTCTCAGCTCTGGTCCTCTGAGGCACAAAAGCCTGAACTGGCGTGAGAAAGAATAGCAAAGCCTGACTGTGCAGAGGTGAGCAAGGTAGAGCGTTTCCCTCCTCCTCACTTACAGGGTCAGAAAGCACATGAGAATCAACTGGGAAAGTAAATGATGACCCCTTAGAGCTGATGTTTGGGGATGTTGTTTAGGAGCGTGAGGGAGCACAGAGACATGAGGCGAGTGGTCTTTACTGTCCTGGCTGCTAGAGGGTTTCCAGGCTGTGTGGAATCCACTTGTTGAAATGGTGCTCAAACAGAGCTTTCATGGAAACTACAGGAACAACGCTGGCTGCTGGAAGCAGCAAAGGAGATCATTGCAAGGAATGTGGGCAGTGTACAGAGCCCACCAGAGCCTAAGAACAGGACTGAGAGCAGAGGCAGGAGCTAGGGAGCTGGGGGGAAGAGGTGTCCTAGCTCTAGCTGCTGCCTCCTCCGAATGCTGGATTCTGCTGCTGGCACCTGCGTACATTCTGAGCCATCGCCCCTCACTCCTCTGCCCACTGGCTCCCAAGGCAGCATCTGGGGAAGGGTCGCACTGGCTGAGCCTACGAGTTCACTGGCCTGGCCTCCTCTCAAGTCTCACAAGGCAAGGACTCCAGCCCTGGCAGCCCCAAACCCAGTCACTGACCTTGGAAGCCAAAGCAGAAGGCTAAGTAGCCTGGTGGCAGGGCAGCTATGGAGGTATTTGGGGAGTAGAATTGTTCTGAGCTTCCCCTGCTGAGTGGTCAGGAGGGACCATGGCATTTAAGGCTAGCAGGGACAAGTGAACCTGCTGTGGCCAAGGAAATCTCAGCTACACTGGCCATCACTGTAGCTGGAGCCGAGGCAGGGATGTGAAGAATGAAGTAGGCAGAGCCTGAAGTGACATCTAGAAGTCATATCGACACTAGGACTTCCAGCAGGCTCTCTGTGCACCTCAGGCTTAGCCTGCAGCAGCCTCCCCAGACAGCTTTCAGTAACTGGTCACTCTAGGTGTGCTGCCAAGACAAGGGTCTTGATGTATCCTTGAAAACATGGGACCTTGGCTTCTGCACCTGGGCTACGCCTCACGGTGCACATTTCCACACACCCATCCCCCCATGACTCTCCCCAGGATTTCCTGAGACACTGGTACCACTGTGGCATGTCTTGATCACCCTGCTTTCTCCCCCAAGCCTCAGGCCATGGCTACTTAGGTCCAGCATTTGCCTAAAGCCAAGGTCAGCCAGCCTTCAGGTTAGCCACTAAACTGAGACACCTCCCCCTGCCACACACACACAACCCAGAAAACCCCTGCTCTGCCTGCTGCTGGCCTTGTTGTCCACCACCTCGGGAGGAGACATTACAAGGACTTTAATCTCCTACTGTCAACAGCTTTATAGTAAAGTACATTCGGGGTAAGCTCTCCAAATGTCAGAGCCCAGCACAGGCCCTGTGTTTGGTGCTAATGTGTGGCATTTACTCTGCAGGTTCAAGAAAGTGCATGGGCTTTGGGAGGTCTGGGCTGCCCAAATACGGGTTACCAGCAGGCTGACACCCCCACCTCCTACTCCTGCCACAGGAGAGTGGTGACCCGGGACCTGGGTAAAGATCCTCCCCAGAGACAAGTCATTCTGTGAAGGAAAATGACTCTGGCATGTGTGCATCACCTTGGGACTGCACTCCAAAGCTGAGGCCGCTGTTTTAACAGCTCTCTCTTTCTGTGTTCAAGGCTACCCCAACTTTGTGGCAACCTATGGCCGAGGCTACCCTGGATTTGCGCCTAGCTATGGCTACCAGTTCCCAAGTAAGTGCCTCGGACTCCTGGGATGTTGGGAACTGGGGAGGTGGGCTGTATTTGGAGGAGGGGAGGGCCTCGAAAGAGGACACAGCTCATACATTTCTCCATTCCAGAGCTGACTTGGGCGAGCTACCTTGCGCCTCCCTTTAGTACAGGGTCAGAAAGCAGCTCAGTGTCTGATTGGCTGGAGAGTTTGAAGACTCTATTGACAGGGAGGGAAGAGAACAAAGACAAGATGCCCCTGGCCAGTTCCTGTTTTTGAAGCCTGCTCTAGGGTTCTTTTTGCCGGAGACTGAACTCAAGGTCCAGGGCTTCCTTTCACTGTCTAGTACCCCATCACCTGTCTCCTTCATCCCTCTCCTCATGCTTGATGTCCAGTGCCTCCTTTTCTCCCTCCTTCCCCTCCTCTTGTCCTTCCACTTGGCTCTGATCACTGTCCTCCGGGCCCTTCCGTGCTGTGGGTGGGGTGGGCACCGTCTGCCTTGGATGAGCTGCACAGGCTCTCCTCTCATTGACATGACTGTCGGGCCGCAGCAGGCACCAGACGGTACTTGCTCACACCCTGGTGCTCCAGCTCCAGCTCTAGCTCTCGGGTGACTGGAAGACGCTGGGCAGACCCAGGGCAAACAAAGTCTGATGGGGATGGGGAGGATACTGCAGGGAGCTTTGCCTCTCCCTGCAGAGGTGAATTAGTTCCGGGACATGGTATAGATGGGGGAATATAGTAGAGTGCCTAGCGTCTGGGTGAAGGTTTAGCTGGGATCTCCAGAGGGGTTGTTGGGAAGAGATTTATTCTCTGTGGTTATCACTGAGGACAGTTCCACATGGGGGACTCTAGACTCCTGGCTGGTCACTCCTGGCAGGTCATTGCACCTCCACATGGCAGACTGGGTGGCCTATCAGCATCAAGGTCTGAGGGGCTCGAGGAGCAGAGAGGTGTCCTGGAGGGGTGGGTGGGCAGAAAGAGAGACCTGAGGTAGCATTGGCCACAAGCTTGGGAGTGGGGACGGCCGGGTGTGGCAGGAGATGGTACAGGAGGCGTTTGGGATACTCAAGGCCATGCCCCATGGCTCCCTCAGCCCAGGCACTTGTCCTGACTCTGGCACCAATTAGACAAGTGACTGTGGCAAGGCTCTCAGCTTCTCTGGGCCTCACTTTCTTCATAAGCAAGGGGGCTGGGTGGCATCTTTGGGTTCTGTGCACCTCTCCGCTGGTGTGTGTCAAAGGGGAGGAGGGCAGCTGCAGCAGCAGAGGCTTGAGATAGGAGAGCCGGGAGGCAGGCAGCTGCTCTGCCATTTCTTCTGGGGCCAGCTCAGTTCCCTTCCTGAAATGAAACCTCAACAAAGATCCTAGGTGGCCCTCAGAAGCCCTCCCACAACCACCCCACAGCAGCGGGGCTGTCTCTCCATACTCCACTGTCAACCCCAAGTCCCTTCCGTTGTTTGTGCACTAGTATAGACTTAGCCACTAACATTTTAATTTAAATTAAATTTCAATTGAAAAGGAAAATTTCCGTTCTTTGGGGTCCCGGGCCACATTATAGCTACTCAACAGCCACATGCAGAACACAGAACATTTCCATCATCCTGCAGAGACCTGTGAGACTGTGCTATTGTAAAGGTCAAAAAGAGAGTGTATGATCTACACTCAAACATACACGCACAATCCAGCCTGGAGTGTCCTGCAGACTGGCACTCTGTTGTCTAGCCCTTGCCTTCAAGAGACACACAGGCTGACCCATCTCAGCTCCCTGAGAGGGTGCCGAGCTGACCTGCACGCTCAGTACAACTTGCCTCCGTTCATAATCAGGTTGCCATAGTCCTGCAGCTGAATGCTGGTCTTACCAGGGCAGAATTAGGAGAACTTAACGTGTAATAATTTGAGGAAACAACACACTGAACCCCCTGCTGGGAGGCTCCTATGTTTTATAAGAGCCTTCCCTTAGGGATTCCATGAGCCAGCTCAGGAAGCATCTGGTAGAACTCTGTCTCCATGACCTACATTCTAGGTCTGCCCTAAGTAGACAGACATGCAAAAGCAGCCAAACTGAGGCTAGGCACACTGAAATAGGATTGGCAGTGGGGGTGTGTATTGGTGGGGGGAGAAGGGAGATTGATTGTGCCCTGAGATAATGCTGCTTCCCATGGCTCTGTAGCTTCTACAGCTTACAAATCGGCACAGTCACTAGGTGCGAATGGGGCAGAAAGCAGACATTGCAGTGGACAGCCCTATTGATCCATGGGCACATAGGCCACATAGTTTGGATGATTCCTCGACCTCCCTTGTAGGACTCTGAGAATAAATGAGGCGCCCAAGAAAGGGGCCAGGCACCAGTGACAAATACCTGTAATCCTAGCTACTCAGGAGGCTGAGATCTGAGGATCATGGTTCAGAGCCAGCCCAAGCAGGAAAGTCCATGAGACTCTTATCTCCAGTTAACCACCAGAATACCACAAGTAGTGCTGGAGCTCATATTGTAGAGTACTCACCTTGAGTACTGAAGAGCTCGGGGACAGTACCTAGGCCCAGAGTTCAAGCCCCACCACAAAAAAAAGGGAAGGGAGGGAGGGAGGAAAGGAAAGGAAGAAGAAAGAGAGAAAGGAAAAAGGAAGGAAGGAAAAGGGTGCATGAGTGTGGAGAGCTGCTCTTGTGGACAAGCCGGGTGGCAGCTGTCCACTTTGGAAATGTCCCTTCCCCAGGCCCAGGTGTCCACCCCACCTGCCCGTCATGCAGAGAGGTTTGGAGTTCAGAATTGTGACTATAGTCAGTGGTCCCCACGCCCTCCCCCAGTCCCCTCTGCACTTCCCGTTCTCACTTAATCTGCTCCCTTCTCTTTTTCATTTCACTTTGCAGACTATTTGCCAATTTTTGCAAGACAAATTTTTCGGGTTTGCTCCCATTTCTAGAGAGGACACCATCCTGCTGGTCCATTCCACCTGCTGTCAGGGCCTGCCAAAACCCTGTCCTAGGGTTTCTCATTTTTAATTCCTGGAAAAGACCTCATTGCTTCACTCAAGTTCAAGGGGGAGAAAAAAAATCAGTCTTTATGCTCTCACTCCCCTTCCTTCTTACCTCTCCTGTACACATGGCGAACGCGACACGTCCCCTTCCCAGCTCCCCACAGACTGTGCCAGGGTCCACACACTTTTCTGACTTCTTGAGACTCCTCAGGGTGCAGAAAGGTGTCAAGTTTTTAGAATAATGATTGAGCAGGCTTGCTAGGCATTTCATGGGGTGAGCTTTGAATTGCTGGAGGTCGAGAGAGGGATTGCAGCCATATGACTCGGAGCACTCATGTGCTGTGGTGGACAGTGGTGAATACATATTACCCTTGTATAAAACATGGAAAACAAAAATATAGAAGAGCACCTGTGCAAGTGTTATCAGATTGTTTTTGTTCTTTGCTGTCAGTCTTTCTGTGGCTCTGGCCATAATAATAACACCTGTCTTTGAGAAGTACTACAGTGTCTGGCACTGCCTCATGTTAAACACACACCTAGGTACCAACCCACACTGGGCTCCTCCCTCCCTGGTGTCTGCAGCCTCCCTTCCCTGCCTGTGCTGGCCTAGCCTTCCTAGTGATATACTGGGATAGGAAGGAATAGAGCATTAAGAACTATCTCCATCAGGCCACATCTCTGGGCTTGGCATGGCCACCCCAAGAGGATCTTTTCCTATGATTCTGACCCCCCCCCCCCCCCCCCCCGCCGCAACTTGCCTCTTTGAATTACCCTCACTCTTTCAGCTTAATAGCATACTGCTCAGTTGCACCTGCAGGAGTTACCCCTTTGTCTGTGGCTGTGTTTTTGAGAAGTGACCCGAATGCTTCCATTTAATGCAATGGATGTGAGCAAATCCATACACTTGAATGTCAGTGTCCTTGAGACCCAGCGTGTGCCGTGTGACTCATCTCATTAAAGATGCTTGATGAGATAACTGGTTAGTTTCCTTTTTATTTCCACAGACTTTTTTTTTAATTGTTTGCTTGGGTGAGCTTGTCCTGGTTGTTTGTTTCACAGTCATTTCAGCCATTGTGGATTTTCTCCATCACTGTAAATAGTGTATCTGTGCTACTCCCTAATGACATTTTTTTCCCCCTGTAAGCAACTGAGGTAGAAAAATAAATTGTTTACCACGGACATGCTGTGTCCCACCATCTCTAAGCCTGAGAGTGTCCTGTTCTCGCTCCAGGGGAGGTGAATGCACTAAATAGCCTGTACCAATGACAGCCAAGTACAGTTCCTACATGTGTGCCAACTCCCCCTGGCTGCAGCCTGTCCCCCGCCCTCCCTGCTCCCACCATGGACAGCCAGTGCGTGCACTCACTCAGGGCGATCTGTCCTTGAGCAGTGGCAGAGCATCTGCGAGCAGCAGCTGCATAGGCCCCTGCCTTTGCCGCTATTCCTGCCCGCCACTGGGAATGCCGCGGGAGCATCTGGAGCCCCCACATCTGCACACCAGGCATGCGCTGTGTACAGGGCTTGCTTTCAAGTGCAGGTCAGTGGTAGAATAGTGGAGATGCTGCTGGACAGGAAGTGAGAGGGTCTAGTGTCCAGGTCCCACTTGGATGCTTGGTGTGATGAAGATAATAGAGTGGCTACCTAGCAAGCTCCAGGTCCTGAGTTCAAACCCCATTACTGGCAATTAAAAAAAAAAAAAAAAAGGAACAGACAAGAGGAAAGAAGGAAAAGCAAAAAAATAAAACAAGAATTAGTAAGGCCTAAATAAAGAGGCCTGGGTGTAATAAGGGTCTGATTATCGTCTGTCTTCTTCTGTCTTCTTTTTTAGCATAAGACTCTACCTCATAGTCTAGAGAAAGTGCTTTAGCACCAGTCACCACACACACTTCCCTAAGAATGCACCTCTTACTTTAAATAACACTTCTTAGAATTCATGCTTGACACCCTGCTAAGATCTCTTTGGTCAGAACTTAACACCTGGCCCAATCAGCTGCAAGGAAATGTCAAAATGCCTTGCTCCAGGTAACCCTGTGCAGGTTACAGGAT